AGAGATAGGGTAAAACTCGATACCTGCAGTAACTCATCCGATGGTTAATCCAATTAAACGATCAATTGATAATTCGATTAGATAATAGATTGATAATCTTAGGGTTTGGCATTGATTAGGGGTTACCAATGGGTAGTTGAATAAAATTTTGTAAGAGAATCCTAAAAGATCGATACTTGACACACACACACGACTCAATTTTATAGTTTAATAAAATATAATTTAAACCTAGCTCTGTACATAACCCTTCATAAAAATGTTGAATTCCTCTCATGCAAATTTTATGACTTTATCGAAGTTTAAAATTTAACATAGTGTGTTAATTTAACACGATATATGTATTAATTTTAATTTGATGACAATTAATTCTCTTTTTTTTTTTTTGAATTATTCAGATTAGGGGATAGAGGGTATGTGATGAATAATCGAATTCAAGAGAGAGAGGGTTTCATAGAGGGAGTTAAAATTCGTAGGATTTGGCTTTAGACAAGATTTAGATACACGGTTAAGGATTTCGTAAAAGGAATCTTTGAGAGTATCCAACCCGCTCCATTCCTACTCCACTCCTTCCAATGCATAAAAAAAAAATAAAAAAGAAAAAACCCAAAAGTTAGGACAAGCACACGGCATAGCAAACCGAATAGATATAATTCTTCTTTACCGTATGGTTTTGTTCTATAGCAAGTGGGTGGAAAGAACTCCTCCTTCCGGTCCTTTGGTTGGAGTCATTAAATTATCAAACCAACCCCACCCAACTCGTGTTGACTCCATAGATAATTGCCGGCTCTCAAATCATGGTTACACCGCAGATTAGTGTAAAAATTAGTCGCAGTTGAACTTTGAGACTCTGAGTAAGTGGGACCTTTGACTATGGGGAAAAAAAAATTTGTGGACAGCAATGGTTTTGGCCTCCTAATGAAAGCAAAATTCTTTCTTTTACTCAAAAACTTGCGTGGTCATTAATTAATTGACTCCCCTTGTCTCTATCTCTCTCCGTACCATATTCCAAGTGTGCAATGAACCTGAGCCTGTTGATTGAAGATTCAATCTCAATGTCACTACTCAAAATTGGTCATTGGATTTGGGGGTAGTAGTATTCTATACTACGTTTGGCTGCGCCACAAGTTTTCCCGACCCCGCTTTTGTCATATGCTTGAGCCTAAGACACTGCTAGTACTATTATGTTTGCCATTACGTAAGCCAACCTAATACTCTACTCGTGACACTTCTTTCCTTGCGTCCATCAAGTTTCTGGTTATGGTAATAGGAAAGAAAATTTTGGGAAGAGAAGCTTGGAGTTAATTTAAAACAAAGCGAACGGTTATTTTGTTGGGTTTGTGGTTTTATACTTGGATTCGTTCATGAGCAAGTCTAAAAATCACTTCAAATCTGTCTGAGTAAACGCCAATGAATAATTGTTGCTGCTTTTCAATTTATTCTTGTTCTCTCAAAATCTACTCCAACAAATATATAGAAAATTGGAAATTGTCAAAAGAGCGCAAGTCAAAGTTCTGAGACGACGAGTAAGTAAGGTTGGATTGAATAGTAAGGTGGGAGGGATAATAAGAAGATAGTGCTGAATTATTCAAAAGCTTCCACTTAAGGAAAAAAAAAGAAAGAAAGAAGTCGTGCTTCTTAGATAACGTCAGAAGCAAGAGATGATGTCAAAGTGAAGCAGCTAGGGTTTAAGATCCCAGAATGGTTTGCCAATGGACTATTTATATATTGTTTTGCACGAGTTTAGCAGCAATACGAGACAATAGTTACAAGAAGACGGTGGTAGTACCTGACAGGGCTCAACTTGGGGAGGATTATTAAGCAAGCAGGTTAGGTAATAATGAAGGAAAAAATTTTCCAAACTGACTACTCAATTAATTAAACCTAGGAATAGAATAGTATAAAGTAGATATGGGATCCTAAGATGTGAAAAGGTATGATTCACCGACACGTCCACGTGCCTAACATAAGCACATATTGATATTCTAATCGTAGCTTTGATGATGGAACTGCTTGTTAATTAATTGTTTCCTGCTAAGATAATCAAGAGAGAGAATCCAGGAAAGAGGAGTTTGAGGTGGTGGGGGGAGGCTTCAAACTGTTACGTGGCGGAGGCGCCTTCTGTGATGAGGAAATACGACTTTAATTTGTGTGGCTCTGTGTGTGTGTGTGGAAAATGTCTCTCCACCATGAAGGACGAGAAGTGATTAATCTTTACTTCTTGAGTAGGTTCGCGCATTCATCCCTGGATTCTGACTCAACTTTATGAACTTCGCTGAAATAGAAAGCACTTGTTCGTGGTCATTGCTTTTTGCTATTTTCTGATCATGGCCGCACCTTCTTCAAACTTTGAAATTTTTCTTTTTCTTTTTTTTTTTCTTTTTTAGGATAAGCGGAAGAATTTGATCTTTTACTTATAATTTCTCCCGCTTTACTATCCAATCTAAACGTCTCGGGTTATTCTTAATAATAGCTTTTGCTATTTTCTTATCATGGCCGTGCATTTCTTAAATTTTGAAACTCTTTTTTTTTTTTTTCTTGTTTGGTTGAAACATGCATGAGAGGAGTTGAATCGAAAGCTTCTATAACTTACGATTCTTTCCATTTTATCACTCATTCCAACACTCCTCCCTTTGAAACTCTTTCTTTCTTCGATCAATGATAATAATATCTTTTTTCCAATAGGTTTTGGAGGGGAACAGGGTATGAGATTTCAAACCCTCGATCCTCAATATTACTCCTCCATCTTGAATCAAAATTCGTGAAATTTTCTTTTGTACCGGACCCATGTATTCTGGATGCGTCTCATGCATGAACAAACTTGGAGGTTATAAGACAACAACTGCATTTGAACTTCAAAGTGTAAGAAGCCCTTGACAACTTCTCAAACTCTTTTTCTTGGATGTTGTACAAGTAGTTATCCAAGTGCCTGAGCTAGTTCTAGGTTTCTCTAATCGCTCATGACTTAATCTCTATAACACGTTTTTATGCTCTTAAAGAAGTTTTTTGTTTCTCAAAATCTTTTCAAGTGACGTATTGTGAGAATTAGGAGATTGGAATCCTCTATCTAATTGGAGAAAAGAAAGCTTAAATTTATGTTCATTTTTCTCCTTCTGTTTATATATAAAGGGGGGGAAAAATCTCATGCATTTATTAGTTCCCAATTAACACGGCTCATTTGCAACTGCGCCACCATTTAAAGTCCATGCCGGGCTGCAAATAAGGACTGGAAGAAACATAAAGAATCACTCCATCCATTGAACTTCGTCCGAAAACATGCATCTCATCTCACCTGTCTCGTGCAGTAACAAAACTCTAAAACAAGATTAAACAAACTCGTTTATTTCGGGAAATGAGGCCCATCCTCCATGGTAGTACGAAGATGCTTACAAAGAAAACTCACTCACTCTATTTTGAAAAATTTGTTCACAAGAGTTTGAAAACAATTTTCTTGTCAATTCATCATAAAGTTTCCAAGATATTAGAGCAGTGTTTATTGCTCTGCAAAACCCCTTAGCATAATAAATGACCAGAAAAACCTCGACAGAGAATAATAACCCCTTAGTAAGGCAATATAATGTGTTGTTTTTCTCAATTAAAATGAAATGAGTACTATATTGGATTAACGTAATTCATGCTGCGTGAATTCTTTTTATTTTTTCTCATTCCATCTACCATTTTGATCTATTCATATGGGCTCGAAATGTTGCTAGTGGCTTATTCGTTTCCTTTGACAGCAGCCACTAGATTACTTGCATCCGACCAAGAAAAATATAGCACATTTTTTCATTCTATGACAACTGACCAAGTTTTGAAGTATTAAACTGCAGCTACATCTGGGAAAAACGTGTTCTAGGAATTGTTTAGCTTAGTTGAGAAATCTCCTCCCTTTTCTGCAAACAATTTGAGAGGTATAAAATTCCATTTTTGGGAGATCTCCTTTCACCAAAAAAGGGGAGAGACACCAAAATTGGGGCATGTTCTTTCACAAAAAAAAGAAAAAGAAAATCACTGTTAATTCGCCTGTCAATTCTGCTTTTGCAGATAAGAATCCCATCGACGCCACCATTACTGTCAAGTCTTGATAGGAGAATATAAGGCCGGCTATGTCTATCTGTCACTCGCTCCATGGCTCCTTGGTTAGACAACTTGCTTCGTAAAACACACCATCAATCATTAATTTGGTTTTTGGAATATAATCGAGTTTATTAGTGTTCTTACATATTTGGAGAGAAAGATTAACTGTTAAAAATTCACCATTATAGTGGTGATTATTATGTAAGTATCAGTGCATTACACCTACCGAACATGTAATTAATCGTTCAACACGTTAATTAACCGGACATATTTGGAACATCGAACGCTCCAAGGTTGATGGATTCGATCCTCGATCAGGTTGAGATCAAGACAGTAGTACCAATTAAACTACAAGAAGTAAGAGCCCAACCTTCCAGCCTCCATCAAGATAAACATTCATCATTCATACCTCATTTCATGGTGTACTAAGTTCAGAACGCAAAATGGACCGTGGATTTTTCGAATTCACATTCACTTTCTTTTATATCATGTTGACATGGAGAAACGAAATCAAGAAACAATTGTATCCCCTTTTCCATAGGGATACAATACAATTGTAGTTCACCTGTCAAGAACATCCGGGCACCAGGCTAGCCTAGTCAAGCCAATGCTGTGAGAGGAACTCCAAAAATTTACACAAACCTTAGGCCACACACTCATTCATTTGTGAATTGCCACTCAGGAAACCCCTTAGGTTTATCAGGTTTCTCATCTCCTTCCTCATTTCTCACCATGTGTTCAAGCCTCCCCTCAACTCCCCTTTTCAGAACATATCAGTACGGAGAAGTGGTAAATTTGCCCGTTTATTTAAGTCATCATCCTCGAGCCCTTTCATGATTAGTCATTCAACAATCTTACCTACTTTACTACCATATATCACTACTACAACTCATTAAACTACACGGATCGATTTGCAAGTCGGTCTGCGTTGAGGTATATATTAAGGCAAAATAAGAGCATTGAAACCCATTTTGGAAGCTTAGAAGAGAGCAAAGATACTCATTAACAATCCCATTCAAACTTCATTTGTTCTTGAAAGACAGTTGCCAAGCATAGGCAGAAATAAAGACCTCAAAACAACCACTCCCCAATATTCAACAGGAAGAAGTCCACACCACTCAGGTTCATTCGGTCACTTCGCTCCGGTTCCATCTTCTTAAGAAGCCTTCTCCGAATCTGTATCATATGAAAAGCTTCAACACCAATCAGAGCTTGACCAAGACGAGCATAACAGTTCCAGATATATAATCACCAGAAAACAGAGGCAAGAGGTAAATTACATTAGAAAAAGTGCACAAGTATCGCATAATACATGAGTGGCGTGGAGTGCAAGTAGACTATAATTGCTCCACTAAAAAAGTTGAGCTAACTGTTGTAATCATGCTTCCTACCACCAGTCAGAAGTAGTAGTAATAGGGAGGAGGCTTCAAATGTACAACTGTCTACTGAAAGAACCAGTGCATGGTCAGGAAAGTGAGGTAATATAGTGGTGAGGGCCATGAATTAAATTAGGCATGCTAAGTTCTTATGCAGTAGTTATAACCCTTATAGGAACTCGCACGACATGCTCCTGAAAATCATGAGGAACAAACAGGGACTAGTCAATCGCACTAAATGAATTGTTCTACCAAGAAATAAAAACTTGCGTACAATCTCTGGAAATTTTCAAAAAAGAGGAGAAATTCAGCAGATGATGAAAATTATGTTCAGGATACAGCAAAAGCATACAATAAGATGTGGTTGCCTGCCCAAAGACGAATGGAGAAAAGGATATACTAAACCAGTGGGACTGAAAGGTGCTTTACAAATGAAGAAATTGGTTTGATTTTTGAGCGCCAAATGAACCAAGCAGCATATCTTTAATTCATGTTCTCGTTCCTGTCAATGTTGAATTTGATTTTACATATGCTAGGCTTTTAAAAAAAAATGCCAGGCTCTAAAACATTCAACAGCATCTGATTATCATGTCAGCTCTTTTTTACTTAAGTTTGAGCTAAACCACTTCTTTAGAAGCAAATGATTTTTGTCTACGAACTTTTAGCAAATCTCATATCAATAATACACACACACACATATAATGGCATTATTTAGCTTTTTGTAAGGAGGCAAGGATTGCCACAGTCCAGTTTCCATAAAACCATAAAGTGAATTCAGATCATTACTAAATCTTGCATGCTTGGAGAATACTCAACTACAAGTTTCCCAATCCTTAGTTCTCTAACAAATTTCTTTTATAAAGAATAATCTCTCCTTAGAATCGTATAAGCATTAGTACACCATAACGACAGGTTTTACCATGATCAACTTTAACAAGCCATAAACTCTATAGCTAACAAGGACACACTGCTTGAAGCCTGAGACATGAGCATGCAGTCATGTCAGTACAGATCTCTATATCCATCACCATTCTCTATTCATATAAAGTCAGTCAGCAAGATTATTGCTACATGATGGTTCAGACACTAGCAATCTCCAAAAACTCCACAACATGCATTCACCATCACCTTGATAATCAATCAATACGTAAATTTCCATCACAAAATGGACACTATCTGGATTGAGTTCAACTATTTATAGGTTGTGTTATGCAGTGTATAGTTCAACTATTTTTGTGACTCATAGGTCATCTGATACTTTAAACTGATCTCCTATTATTGTTCCCCATATAAAATTTTGCATTCAATTTTTATGTCCACTTTCCAAGAGCTGAAGATATTGATTATCCATTAAAGTTTTTCCTAAGGACTTTGTATAACAAAAGAAGTGGTGGCCCCTCGTATACTACATCAGCCATTATTTTGCAATTTATACACATTAACTCCCATATTTTAGCAAACCAACAAATAGATGGAGATTATTCTTGTGGTAGTACTCCTACAACCACATACAGTGACACTTATGATCCTGAAGATGTTGCTGAGTTAAGAGTCTGTCGACGTGAGCAAAAACTATAGAAACTTGTGAGACTAACCAACCAGAAAGGGGTTTTCGTCAATTACAACAAGCTTTGTCAAATTTCTCCTTATTTCACATCATATCGAGGCAACTATTTGAAATTTCAAACAGTCAATGCAACCGTAACAGACACCATATGAATATATCAAACAATTCCAACTAACAGATATGAGAGAAGCATGTACTCTTTTGTTACTTCCTGTCAAGCTACTTTCTGTCTCCCTGTACATTAAATTTTATAGTCAATTTTTATCAGGTCACCATTTGCAATTACCACAGATATGTGAGATAGCACTTAAGAAGGTGATAATGGTTGATACCATTCCAATTTTATTTTCATATTCATTTTGATTTCTGTTCAAGGACAATGAAATGAATGAATCATGAATCCAATAGAAGACAATGTCAATGATATTCAATTAGAAAGGCGATTCAAGTTGAATGATTGGAAAATCCCTTGAAGCAAAGAAACATTTATACTCTATTTTCTCAAACATCTGGAAATATCAGAAGAAACCTTCTTTACGAACATGTACCATTTTCCCAAGAGAACATAATGCATTGGTCATATTTCAAACACTTAAAAGCTGAAAGAGACATAATAAAAGACCACATTTTACTACTTGTTATTCTTGCATTGAACTATTCTTATATCTACAATGTCCTTCATTGTAGCAGCTAGACCACTACTTTAGTACCATCACCTATCGAGCCCAATGAGCAGTCCATAGAGCTGCATCCCTAAACACCTAATAGTTAAACCCAAATATTACAGGCCAATACTTTCATCCTTTATACAAGGTCCAAAGGTTCTAAGACTGGAACATCTACAAGTAAGATGTCAGATAAATTAGAAACCATTTCAATAACTAGATCAAATGACCAAATAAAAGAACCATCAGGTCATTGTAGGAAATCTGCAAGAATAAATCAAGCAGTGCCTCAACAACCTGAGAGGCCAGCATTTGTAGCCAAGAGCAAATGAGAAATGAAGTATGCTATCCAAATGAGAACCAGATTGATAATGTGAAAAATCACATCTCCACTCACACAACGAAAGAAACAACTCAGTCCAGATCAGATGAAGGAAGAGTTGAATTTTGAGGAAATTGAGATAGGAACAACATCTAAATCAGAAAAAAATGTGATAGTTTCGGAATCATGATTGACATCAATAACACTTGTTTTACAGATGATTTTTGTTCATTAACAATGCAAGGCATCTTGAAATCAGATGAAGGGAGAGAGTGATTTTTGAGGAAGTTGATATAGGAAAAGGCATCTAAATCAGATGAAATGTGACAGTTTCAGAATAAAAATTGACTCCAATCGCACATATTTTTTGTTTTATAATCTCCTGGTGCTAAAGCATCCTAACATGACAGGAGGTGTTCAATACAAGGATCTCAACAATCAGCATTATTGCATCTTTTTGATCTCCTATTCCACTATGCCCTCATAAAGCTTGCTCCTTCAATGCAGATGTGCTTAGAGGTGAATCAATGAGCGATATAACTTTCTCAAACATTGGGCTATACTTTTGTTATTCTACTCCATGGACACATTGATATGCAGCATTGACACTCAGCAGTCAACTCTATTAACTCAGGCTACATGTTTTATTTCCTTAGATCTTTCCAAACCCCAAAATCAGTAGCAATATCTGGGAAGAAAAAGCATGGCAAGAGCTGAGGCACAGGATAAACAATTATTCATGAGCTGTTAAAGCTCTTCAACAACACAAACCAACAAATCCCAATGCCAAGGGCGACTGATTTCTTTCCAAATAATCAAAACTCTTAAACGAAGCAGGCCTGCAACTGTTATACCTATGGCCCAAAGCATACTAGAAAGGAGATACATCACCACAATCATTTAAATTTCATAGGAATCCTGTGAAGTCTACGACCTCCTTCCCCGACATCAACCCTATTCAACATAAACATCAGCTGTTACCATCAATCAAGTCATTTTTAGGGTACATTCACCTCTATTATCTACTATCTACACCTTTCAGAACCCTAATGTTGTTCTCATGTCTTGAAAAGCCCAAAGATTGAGTCACTTCACTTTAGTTTCACCGAAGCTGCATCCCTGAAACTTCAAGCAGTCTCTGTTCAACTATTATTCCAAGTAGGCTTATGCCAGCATTAAAGATTCAGCAATTTGGACAGATCCCTCAACAAATTAAATTTGCCCATCCACTTCTTGATGTAATTTTGTCCTATGTACGTTGTACATCTCACTTGAAATCTTCGATCAAATACTAGACCTCAAAGTCATCTCCAGGTCTCACCACTAACACAAATTTAATGCCTTCCTTGTCTCAATATCTTTTTCTCCCTCTCCATGCTTTTATCAAGCATCTGATGATGAAACTTTTCATTCTCTTTTCTCTTTCTTTTAATTTGACAGAATGATTCTTCTTCTAGCTGCATTTGAGACAGAGAAAGAAACTCTAAAAAGAAGAAAAGAATTTCAAAGCATCATTTCCCATGAATAAAGCAAATCGCAAACTAACTTTCCAGATGATGGTTTCTAACCTCCTAAAACTCCACATCACTAAGTCGCCATCATTCTCTTTTAGACACTTCATGATCTACCAAATGCATATCAACCTTAATGTTGGATATAAATTTTAAAAAAAAAGCTTGTACACACCAGACCAATACATCCACACTGGCAGTCACTTAACTAGGAAAAAGAAGGGAATCAAATCATAGCATAAAGAGCCATGTGCAATGTCAGTGTCGATGAGTTTCCAGCCAATTAAAAAGAAAACAAGCTTTAAGAGTAACCATATTTTCAAATGATCAAAGAAAGATGTAAAACTGAAAAGATGAAAAAATGGAGACCCTCAGCCTCGCTTGTGTCTGCTAAGGAAAAAGAAAATATGGATAGAAACTAGTTTTATGTTTAAGGACATACTAGATAAACAAAATCTGGTGCACTTTACACAATTCCCTACCGTTACTATTTCGGCAACAGGAAAACAATTTCTCTATGCTTAGAAACAATGAATAAGAAGATCACTTTATTCTATCAAACATAAACCAGACCACAGCTTGCAATCAAGAAGGTTTGATAAATAAGACACTTAAAGTTTCTTGGAAATTCAGGTACCAATAGTTAAACATCAAACCAAGACAAGCAGCTAATCATCCCATTTCAATAGATAAAACTAACAGAGGCAGCTTTTTAGACCATCTGAACCTTGTAAATCAAATGAGGAAAAAAAGGCTCCTCTTTAACTCGAACAATTAGGAGTAATCCTTATTCATCCAGGAGCTTGTCAAGCACAAGTCTTTTTTATTTTGGTATCGCTGCAGCAAATTAACCAAACCACAATCAATCAAAGGGGGAGCAAAAAGAATAAGGGTCACGTACAAGAAGAATTCGCAGTAAAAGTTTAGCTAATCAAAACCAGCCTTGATCCATTTTGGCACCATTCCCCTATCGAAAACTAAAATTATTTATGCTGAAATCATTTCTCAGCACTACAAATAAACACCAAATAAATAAAAATACAACTGAACACAATCATTTCATTAATTACCTGTAGCTTTATCCGAGGAATCATGATAGATAGGCTCCTCCTCAGGAACAGGGTGAAGCCCTTCAAGATTCTTCAACTCCCCTGATTTTTTCAAACCTTCTCCTACATCAGAAGCTCCATCTTTTTCATCAGGGTACCTAACAACAACCACAGGACAAACACAATGATGGACACAATAATCACTAACACTCCCAAGTCTTCCTTTAGTACTTCGCCTCGCCGCCCCAAACCCCCGGCTTCCCATGATTACCGCACTCAATCCCAATCTCTCCACTTCCAAACAAAGTCTTTCTTTCATATCATGGTCTTTAACAATATGGATCTTGAACGGAATATTGGCTTCCACCAGCGGCTGCGCCAAGTCATTAGCTTTAGTTGTGGTGAGATTGTCGAAGTCATCTTCCATTTTTTGCTGGGATTCCTCGTCGGTGACCGATAAGTCGACGGAACCCCAGTCAGCGCCATAGAGAACGGAGGTGGGACGGACGTGGAGGAGGATCACGGCGTCGCCGGGACGTAGGTAATTCTGAACAGCCCATTTCACCGCGTAGGCGCTCTCGTCACTGAGATCGACGGCGATAGCTATCTTCCGATTGGCCCCGGATGTCGGTGTCCCAGATGGGAAGCGGGGTGAAGCTGGCTGGTGGAGAATCGCGGCCGGTGGTCGGTCCGACTCCGCCGGCGGCTTTTGCGGTGATGCCATGCGGAAAGGATAAAGACTATAACTTTTTCCTAATTCCTCTTTCCTTAACGGATTTTAGGTGGGCTTTAATGAATAATTTGTGGGTTTCGATTAGTTTCTGTTGTCTTCTTGGTTTTGTGAGTATTTGGAGTGTGTGAAGTGTGCGTGTTTTTCTCAAAAGGTTGTACAGGAAGAAGTACAGGGCTGTTGGAGGTGGTGGAATCTGGTACTACAAATGAACATTCGCGAAGTTGGGGATTTATGTCGAGAAAAAAGTCAACATTTTGACGTCAAACCAATCGTATTCGCCAGCTTTTGGTTTCGCTTGGTACATATTTCATTTTCGTACATTACTTGATTCTCGTCCCCCATCTCCATCGACTACCTTATCAAAGCAAGCTCAGAATTGAGATGAGTGTATTGTACTGGTGTTTCCGTTTTGGATTTGTCTATAAGATGCGAAATGAACTCCGATTAAGAAGAGCACTGTGAGTATTAGTAGTTTTTTTTTTTTTTTTTGTTGCCTACCATGATATCCAGGGTTTTGCCCTGACTAATCCGTTGGTCGACCTGAATCGCACACTTGATTGTGGTGGGTGAGTCTCCCAACAAGGATGGATGCGTACGCCAGGTTTCGAACCTGAAACCTGCTTAAGCGGAACCAAATTGCTTACCACTTGACCCAACCCCGATTGGTAGTTAGTGGTTTGGAGAAGGTGAAATTGAAGGTGTTGAAAGTGACAAGTCGTTTTGGATCGTTTTTATTTTTTAAGTGTTTGCTATTTTGTTTTCTTTTGACAAAAATGAAGGGTGGGATTTAAAAAACAGGCAGGTGAAGAAGAATTTAAATCCTAAATCTTTAAATCTTTGAGTTTTAACCCTAATCATTAATCATTGGACTAAAGTCTCGTTGACTTAACAAAATTTTTAATATCTTTGAATTAAAAAAAAAAGAAGGAAATGTAAGTGCATATGATTAAAGGGTAAATTATTTGTTCTTAATTAGTGCCGGATAGACCGTCAATGGAAAAATATTCATTTTTTCGTTATTTTTCGCTTAAAGCACATAATTTTTCCCCCGATCATGCTATAGAATTAAAAATGATTGGACCATGTTGAGACTTGTGAATTCATTATAGCGGTGACTATCAACACTTAGGGAGTAGGGATAATCATTAATCTCCCCATATTATAATTAGGTAGATAAGATCACCTTTTAATTGAGCAAATCCACAATAAAACAAATGTTTGCTTAAAAAAACAAGCTACTCCATAATAAAAGAAGAGTAGGACAGCCGCAAAGTTTTTTTAGTGTTTTTAAAACATATACGATTGCATAGATTAGAAAGCAGCAGAATGTTAGTAGGATTCAAGTACCATCTTTGGATTATTCGTCTCAAGAAAGAATTTTGTTTTCTTTATTCAAACTATAGTTATCTAGTTATTATCAAAAAAAAAAAAAAAAAAAAAGCTGTAGTTATCTAGTTCTCATTTTCACATGACCGTTTTCACATGACCGTTAAGTTGTGGATGAATGTGATGAGTTGATTATAGGGATAATTTCAGAAACCTCTCTTGAGATTTCTTACTATTTCATTGGCTTTCTTGCAAGTTTTAAAAATTTCATTAATTTCCCTTGAAAATTATTATATTGTAACATTTAAATTCAATCAACAATTAAAAAATGATATAGGAGGAAGAAGATAATATGATTTTATCATTTCCCCTCATCTACTAAATATTTTAATTAATTTAATACGGAAGAAGATAATATGATTTTATCATTTCCCCTCATCTACTAAATATTTTAATTAATTTAATACCAAAGAGTGAGCTTTAATATATATATATATATATATAATTAAAATATTACAAAGAGTGAGCTTTAATACCATAAAAATTTCAGTAACTGACTTTAATTTGTTGACAATAATATTTATGATATTAAAGTTTGTTCTCTGTAATATTTTGGTTGCAAATTTTTTGACTATTTATTGTTGATCATGTTTGACGATGGATATGTAACTGAAAAGAGTAATTTGGATTTTGTATTAAGTGAAAAATATAAAATTATATATATATTGATATTATATGTTATTTGATTCCTAATAATAAACAATAAATTTTAGTGTTTTTCTTTAATACGTGAGTTGGTATTAAATTAATTAAATAATATAGTAAATGAGGGGTAATAATGAAATCATATTATTTTATCTCTTCTAATATAACTTTAAATTATTGTTTGGATCTAAACGTTACGAGATAATTAATCTCAGAGGAGGTTAATATAATTTCAAAATCTGGAAAAGAGGTTAGTAAAATAGTCAAAAACCTCAGGGAAGGTTTTTGAAATTATCCCTTGATTATATTGCTACATAGTTGGATCTATTGATTCGCACATTCTCATTGGAACTCGGATCCAGCTAAAAATATTCCCAAAATAATTGCTGGCAGAATCTCTTGCCAACTTGGGTAACTACAATTGGCATTTGATGATGAATGTGGAATTTGATAAAGCATATTCTCTACTTATTTTCTTCCTTTTTCCCTATAGTAGTATATTTAGTTCCTGTTTTTCCATCAAAAAGTTTTTGGAGCCATTCCCCAGTGGAATTCAACTTTTGTTAATGGGCTTGAGAAAACGACCCATCAATGTGATTGCCAGTTGCCATAACACACAAACAATAGGAAGCCCACATCTCTTCTCGCTGGCTGACAACCAGCGGCCAGTCCCCAAATTCTACAAGTTGAGTTGGATGCACAACAGCCCATTAAAGTGTTTGGGTTTGATACAACTCAACGCCTTTCCCCATTCCTGAGACTGCAAACCAAAATTCCCTCCAAGGCCAAGGGAACCGCCCGCCTCCACCACCTCCTCTCGTCTTTTCGCTCTAGAAGTAATACTCTCCGGCTAAAGTCCGTTATTGTTAACCCCCTCTTGCTGTCGAAGGCCAACTCCCTGTTTAATGCTCCAATAATCAAAGCTTTTACTTTGATAAACAAAAGGTCTTGCTAAAGTTAGTTGGCAATTCCAGCAAACCCAGAAAACAGCTAAGAAAGTTGAGACTTTTTTTCGATTCAATTCAAGGTACGACAGCTTCTCACGCTCCATGAGAATTTGGGTATTTTGTAGGTATGCTTTTCATTGAATTTAAGTTGATTTTTGGACAGAGTGTGTTGTGCAATTTTGTTATTTCATCCGTGAGAAAAATTGAACCTTTGGAATTACGACTTCGAATTCTGATGCTGGATTACAGTAGGACAAGGCAGCAGTTAAATGTGGTTGTTGGGATCCCCTTAATTAGTTGTCAGGAATTTCTACTCTTTTTTATTTTGTTGGGGGGCAGGAATTTCTACTTGTCATTGGCAGTCAATGAGTTTCCTATAATATGGAGGGAGGATATGTTTGTTAACCTGTTTAGAGTTGTCAAATCAAATTTATATGAAACGGAAGTATATTGTCGATTATAAAAGTTGACATGAATTAGGAAGTGGCCCGGGAGAGAATTATCATTGGTAATTACGAGTAATAATAATACTTCCTTATGCATATGAAGAATTGCTTGAGAGGTTGTAGAATGAGCATGGTGGCACTTTTTAAAAAAAAAAAAAAATAGTTGAAGATTGATGTTTTGTGTGTGTGCTTGTTCGTGACTATTGAAGTGGCAGTGTTTAAAAGTAATACTAGTATGAACTGATGTAATTCTCTGATCTTGGTTTTAGGGAAAACAGTATTGAGTATTTCCAGGTTTTACTCGCTCAATGCAGATTGTTGAAGCCTTCATTGTGTAGTAACTGCTTGTACTTTCCTTTTTGCAGATAACTGGCCTTGTTGGCAATATAGCTGTGGTAAATACAGACTCTTTAGGATGTTGTCGATGGAACTGGAGAACAAAGTATCGTTCAAAAGATGCATTCGTGAAGGAGATTTGGTTATTGTATATGAGAGGCATGACAACATGAAGGCTGTGAAAGTTTGTGAAAATGGAGTTCTCCAAAATCGTTTTGGCGTTTTCAAACATTCAGATTGGATAGGGAAACCATTTGGGTCTAAAGTGTTCAGTAATAAAGGTGGATTCATTTATTTGTTAGCACCTACCGCAGAGCTGTGGACTTTAGTTCTAAGCCACAGAACTCAGATTCTTTATGTCGCTGATATTAGCTTTGTTATTATGTATCTGGAGATTATTCCTGGTTGTTTGGTTCTTGAATCCGGTACTGGAAGTGGATCTTTAACTACCTCACTTGCAAGAGCTGTAGCACCCACTGGGCATGTCTACACATTTGATTTTCATGACCAAAGGGCTTCCTCAGCCAGGTTGGCAGTGAAACAGATTACCTGAGGCTATTTAATAATGTAGTTGCAGTTTATATTGCTTGAACGAGTAGAGTCACTCCAAGTTGGAGTATTTTTTTTTATATTTGCCAGTGTATCCATTCATTCAGAAACTAAATTTATAATTTATATCACGGCAGGTACTTAGGAGTGCATGACATTGTTTTGTCTAGGCATGACTAGAATCCTAGTGGTTTGATTTTCCTTTCGGCTATTATGTAAAATGCTTAATCTGTTTCATAATCTCTGCCGTAGGGAGGATTTTGAAAAAACAGGATTGAGCAGTTTAGTAACAGTGGGAGTCAGAGATATTCAGGGTGAAGGATTTCCCGATGAATTTATTGGGCAGGCAGATTCAGTTTTTCTTGACCTACCTCAGCCATGGCTTGCCATTCCTTCTGCTGGGAAGATGTTGAAAGAAGATGGGGTCTTGTGTTCCTTCTCACCATGCATTGAACAAGTACAACGATCATGTGAAACACTAAAATCATGTTTTACTGGTAAAGTCCATTGGTCATTGTCTTATAAAGTTGCATTGTTTTCTACGTCTAAATGGTGTTTATTGAGCAGTTTGGTGCGACTTCAGTTAAAGAATGCATTAAGGGTGAACTTTATGTTAAATCTTCTGTAGATATAAGAACTTTCGAGATACTTCTCCGGTCTTATGAAGTTCGAGAAGAAAGGTTAGAAAGCTGGGAGAATCATGCAGGTGGTTCTCTTGGGTCTCGTAAAAGAAGGCAGCGTTCCACTGATGGAAGCAATGGAGTTGAAGCTTCCGTTTCTGCCACGATCGTGGCCAGGCCTTCCAGTGAAGGGAGAGGACATACTGGCTATTTGACGTTCGCTAGACTCCGGTGTGTCATCTAAACTGCCCTTTTGTCAGAAATTTTGCCATCTTGGTCAAGTTCGTTCGGTCCATTCTTATTTCTTGGATGTTCGTCTGGTTGATGGTAACATCTGATTCAGCAGCAGCTTTTAGACTGTAGGTTTTCCATTCTGTAGCAAGCAAGGATTTTTGCTAGCTACTTCTTGTCGGCACTTAACAAAGATTTCATGAAATTTTGTTCGAAAAGTGCAGTAGGTTG